AAATTTCTTTCAGATTCCTTCTACCTTCAAACACAATGGCATCAGTTTTAGACACATTAACTTTAAGACGGTTCATATTTGTCCATTAGATTAAACTTCGCAAATCTTTGTTGATTGAACTAATTGCCTTATCGATGTCTTGAAAGTTAAAAACATACATAAGCTGTATGTCATCTGCCTAACAATGACCTTTACAATACTTTATACTGCGTTTCAAGTCTATGAGGAACACATTAAACAGCGAAGGACCCAAAAGTAACCCCTGTGGCACTTCTCTCTGCACAACCAATTCCTGGGAGAGTGCTGGGCCAGTTTTGCTTCTTATTTCGAAAAGTTGGTGTCTGTTAAACAAGGAATTTTTGAACCATTCCAAAGGTATATCCTGAAAACCATAACACGAAAGTTTCGAGAGCAGAAGGTCGTAATTGATACTATCAAGTTGCGTATCGATTACCCGCCGCAAACTGTCGAACATTGGCTCGCGCGGTAGCCGTGCTCAATGGGTACTACTCGCCGCGCGAGCCAACCTGTGCTCGAACATGCCGCGGTGCGAGCCAATTTCTGTCGGCTTTTGGAGCGCGGCAAAGGAAATGCTCGCACCAAGTTGAGACGCTTGTGTCGTTATTCGAGTTGGATGGCGCGCCAAAATGTCGATTTGCGACAGGCAGCTTGTGCACGTGAAACGTCCATGGTTGCTTTGCGAAAACTAAACAAACATCTGGATCGCATACGGCGAGCGGCAGCCGCGCTTTAACAAAGTTCGTGTCTCAAGTGGCTCGCGCGGTAAATGGAGGTTTTTTGCCGCGCGAGCCTGCCGCGCGCGGCTGCCTCGCGAAATCGATACGCGGCTTTAAATGCTTTGGACATGTCTAGAAGGTTAAGGATGGTTATTCGATTCCTGTCCAAAGAGGTCGTAATTTATCTTTAACAATGCTGTGCTGGTACTGCACGATTTTCTGATTCATTAAGCATTATAATGTTTTCTTCAACAAATACGAAAGTTGCTGATGCACAAGTTTTTCAAGTACCTTCGTATAAGGCAGCAAAATGCTGATGGGGCGAAGGTTTGGATCTGTGATATTTTCTTTTTTCTGAAGGGGTATTATCTTCGAGTTTTTCCATACGCCTGGAACGTGACCGCTAATTAGAGATGAGTTGACAATGTTCAGAAGGGCCGGGCCACAAAATGGAAAAGCCAACTTTAACTTCTGGATCGAAATGCCATCCAGACCTAGTGTTAGATTTTATTGACTGTAGAGTTTTATGTAGTTCATCCAATTATTAATTTCTGATTCTCTGTTAAGTAGTTCCTGAGAGTGCTCTTTCCAACATGAATTATTGGGAGAACTCTCTTTAAGCAGTCTTGTGCCATCTTTGAATCGTAAGGGAGTGAGTCCTTGAGTGGTTGGGGTCCGTATAGGTACCATCTTAGTAGCCTGAAAAAAGGCCGTGGTGCTGTTGGATTGATTTAGTTATTGTATTTTGTTTGTGTTTGATTTTGTTATCCATCATTGGGTCTTTTCATGCACGCGTTCGCTTTTGAACTTCTGCTATTGTCGAATTGGTGTCGCTTCTCCATGCATTATCCTCTCTTCTTTTTCTCTCTACAAGTTCTTGAATTTTAGTGTCGTTCTCATCAAACCAGTCTTGATGTTTATTTTGTATGTGCAATACTACACTGCTTTGGCAGATTTTCATAATAAGAGAAAAAATTTGGTCGGCAAAATTTTCGAAAGGTTGTTGCTTGGCAATTTCGTGAATGACGCCTGACGGCTCGTGATTTTGTCAAAAATGTCATGAGCGAAATTGCCGAAAAGCAACAAACTTGAATAAAACCTTGAGAACAATTTTGCCTACACAATTTTTTCTCGAGTGGTATTCGACATGACTATTTCACGTAAGATTTTAAAAATAAATAGAATGCAAAAATATGAATAAAAACTTCAAATTAAAAATATCAGTTTGACAATGTCAAACCAGATGTCAAATTTTTGACATAACGCTTCCTAGACAAATGACTACCTAATTAATGATTGTCATTGTCATTAATTGTCATTTCAAACCATGAATTAATTTTAATAAATCTTGACATTTTTTCAGGTTTTAATATCATTTTTCGGAGATAATACCTACCGCATAATACCACGAGAGCTTCAAAATTACGGATAATTTTTCACGATTGAGTGTTTTCTATAATTTCACAAGTCCACGAGTCCGTAGGACGAGTGAAATTTGCAAAGAAAACACGCATGTGTGAAAAATTATCTGGTCCATTTTGACCATTTTAAAGCTCGATTGATATTTAGAGGATTATTTCACGAATGAAAATGCAAAAAATATGTCGCTAACAGCGTCCATATTTGTTTGTCTTGATACAAATAAATGGTTGCTAGCGTCAGCAACCGTTTTTATCAAAAATTAGCATGACAACCATATATACGATTAACATGCGATAATATTCGCTGGCATTATTTCATTATTAATAATTATTATTATTATTTTTATTATTATAAGTGAAAAACCCTAAGGGTCCTTTTGTACGAGTAAGTTTACCCCCATAAAGTGTTTTACTGAAAATGGACCTCAAGCCGGCGTACTAAATCTTCAATAAGCACCCTAAATGCTATAATCTCAAGAAAAAGCAACGTCATGTAAATTTCTAAGTGGCACCAATCCAAGTAGTAACCGGCGCGCTCGACGCTGCTTAGCTTATCATGAAATTTATACTTCTTTTTTTTTTTTTCAAAAATGTCCCAATGAAACCTAATGAGATATTTGAGATTTTTTTTTTTTTAAAATTTTTTTTTTTTTATATAAAGCAAAATGAGCTCTATCCAATTAAAGAAAAGATCAATGACGTCATATTTTGGAGAGGATTTTTTTTTTTCCTATATCTCTGTGTAACTTTTCCCTGCACGTCTTCTTATAACTATTTCCAAAATTTCATCAAATTCCATCGAACCGTTTTCTCAGAAAAATGCCAACACACATACATACATACATAAAGTTTGTTTCGCCAGGGTTTGTACTTGCCACCCGCATTTGCCTTCCTTGTTTACCAAGTAAAAATTTACTGAAACAAATCAATGACGTCAAAAACGTTCGTCGGTTCTTAAAAGAGAAGTCAATCATTTCAGTTTGTCAAAAAAATTGAATGTGTCATATGAATTAATCTAGGACAACCCTTTTTTTTCATGTTTCAAGGTCAAGTATGAACCCTGGTGAAACGAACCTTACATACATACACACAGACGGAAATGTGCCACCTTGCCAAAAAGGCTTAAAATGATCCAAAACGTCAAGATTTAATGAAATTTTGACATGGTCAAAATCGGGCTATCACCATAGCTTCCTATATCTAGGAAGCTAAAAATGGTCCCTGAAATACCATGTTGTTGGTATTGTCCAGGTAGCAATATTGTCAGCTGAATACCGAATTTATTGCCGGTGTGATACACTCTAGTGAAATAGTCAGCTACATATAACGGATTCCAAGTTATTTAGCATAATGCTCTGAAAAATTGAAAATAAAAATCAACAATTTTAATAAAGTTGCAAGTATTTCTGGTATTATGTACGTAAATGATGTGCAGTATACCGTTGGAAAGCGCGTCTCCTCCTGAGTAATAAACACTAATAATGAAAAGAATTTTCTAGCGACTTCCTTATAGGTTGATATCAGAATACACTTTCGAGTTATACCTACTATAGGGAAATGTAGAATCATTGGCGGCTATATTGGCATCAACGCTGCTATTAGAGGGCCAAAAAAACTTGTGTCCCGGGCTTTCTGGACTCGTCTACTCATGAACTCTCTGAACCCAAAGGGGCGCATTGGTTACCAGATCTGAAACTTTTGGTACCTCTCTCACCCCACTATAGGTACTTATAATGATTGTGATAGTTAGGATTTTTCGATGATACAAGGTATATGATATTTTTAATGCCCATTTAGAATAACCCCATCCTTACCAACAAAAACGAACGTCAATTGCTAATAAGTTTATTTCATTTACAAATAGGAAATTCCTAACCTAATTTTATTTGTGTATTCAAGAATCGACATACGCTAAGTCACTAGAACGACTCGTACTTCCAAATAGGTATTAAGAATACTATAGTACCTACTATACTATTTGAAAACAAAAATGAGAATGGATTCAAAATTTCAGCTAGTTTTGAAAAAATACGTCAGGGAACTGCAAAACCAAAGTTCAATATAGGTACATGTTGTTAGAAAGAGTAGACATAGTATCTGTTCCCGTTAATCTTTCAATCATTTTTAACTTAACCAAATTGACTTAAGTTTACACACATAATATCATAGGAATTTTTTTGTTTTATAAAGTTTTTTTTTTCAACATAAATTATGATAGGTCAATGACAGTCTTCGCAGAGGCCAACGTAGACGTCGACTTAAGGATGCTGCGTTCATTTCGGGTATTGCGGCCCCTGAAGTTGGTTTCTCGTATACCAAGTAAGAGTCCGAAACGTCCGAAAACTCACATCACAAGTTTTCTTACAAAAAAAAATAAATAAATAAAATAGAAATCTAGCATCAAAGCATTGTTTCACTTTTTTATTATTATTATTCGAGTTTTAGATCTTCTACCAAAGGTTGAGTTTAGAACTAATTTGATTTAATTGGAGTGGTTATTTTAATTAGAATTATTCTTAGATTATATTTTTTTCCAGTGTTATGATTCAGTGTTGGCCAGTTGCAGACTTTATAGAAGACAATCTAGATTTTATAGCATAAAATAGTCGAGAGATTTTTTAGATCTAGTTATAGAAATTTGTAGAATAATTAGTTTCAATTGTTTCAACTCGTGACTCAAATACATACACAAGTTAGCGAAGTTATAATATGTCACTTGACTCGATTATAAATACGTTAACTTGTGTTCAAAATAAAGATCAATAATTTTTTTAGTTTACATTATTATTAGTTAAAATTAGTTACTATTCGTAGCTCTGCTAGAGGCTAGTTTTGTTTCTAGGTTTCTCACCCTGTTCCCACAAGATTTCATAGCCGTCGACCTCCGCACCTTGCGAGCTATCAGAGTACTTAGACCTTTGAAGCTAGTCTCTGGCATCCCTAGTAAGTAGACTTGTAGCTCTGAACTTTCTTTGTTTTTAGTGCTGTAGCTTACACTATCTATTTATTATCTTTTTAAAAATTTGCATTGTTGTACATTTTGGCACTGTTAATACTCAAGATGACACACCTTACTTCTGGATGGTACACAATTAACAATATACGTTCAGTTATTTTCTTGTCAACTGTGGAAAAGTGAGCCATCGGAATTGAAAAGAGGATAGAAATGTTTTTTTTTTTTTTTCTTAAATTGTTTAACACTTTTTTGTAGGGGACAAAACTAACACACACTGATTCCATGAAGGTGCTTGCTTATACACTGAACGAAAGAGTAGTGATTCCTGAAGTGCTTGACCGCGATTTTTTTTTTTCAGAAAGTTATTATGAAAAACAGTATTTATTGTTTCAAATATGTTCTGGGCATCAAGAAGGCATGCAAAGGGCGAATCCGTTATTTTCTCGTCATTCTCAACGTTAACAAAACATATCCATCATTCAAAATTTTTGTTAACTTTTCACAAATAAAATGCCTAGTTTCAAGCCTATGCTACTCTTGCTTCGTTGCTTTGCGTATTCGTTCGCTCGGTGTATATGCGGATCAACAACTTTGAAGTACCAACCAAGTTAACTATTTCCTTTATAAAATCGTGTAGATACTTTCCTCCAAAACAACATGTCGCTAAATAGCCCAATTGCACCAACATCTACAAATTTTGGACTGAAGAAAAAGTCAAAACCCTCATAAGATTAATTTTATAATTTCATCAATTTACATAGGTTGATAAGTTTTCAGGAAACAAATTCTGAAAAACTAAGTTTACTCGATTTATATTTAAAATTTCAGAGGTCTTGGTCAAAACATTTGAACAGAAATCTTACGTCAATGTTACTTGATCTCTTGATCCAAAAAACTGCGATGGTTCGAGACTTTATTAAACATATAACAGGTCGAATGCAGAGAGCCTACACTTTAGCAATTAACAAGCACTATACATTAATTTTAGCAAAAGCACCTGAAAGTATTTAGAGGTCGACATGCCGCAAACACGGGGGTGAAACATGATTTATCATGATTGAATCATCAGGAAAATCAAACTCTGGTTTGATTTTCCTGATTCTTCGACGAGCAGCTCAGACACTCCGTCAACTTTAAAACTTGAGGGCTTAAACCGGAAATGGTATATTGAATCTACTAAACGGTAATCAGCTACGCTTCGAAGAGACATTAGAACACTAGTCGTCCCGCTCGTTGTCTAGAAAAATATCACCTCAAAACGATTGGCGAAGTAGAAGATGACTTCTGCAACGGCTAACTAGGGACTCTTGAAAGATGTTACAAATAAATTTTAAATATTTTATTGTGATTTAAAGCAAGAGAATCTATAGGGTCGTGGAATTCAAAAATGATGAAACTACTCAAATTCCGACAAAGAATAATTTTATTTGGTATTTGTTACCAATGTAAGTAACAATAGCTTCGTGCGCGGTAAGGGTTCAGTACGCTAAGGAAAAAATCACAATAAAACATTTCTTTTGTTAGACTGTCACATATTGCCAATTTCTATTGTGATTGGTGCCTTAGCGTTCAGAACTGATTCTGAACCCTTACCGTGAACGAAGCTGATGTTACTTTTTAAAATTTGAAAGTAACAGCTTGGTTTTTCCTGTGACATTTATACGGTATGTACCTTTTCCAATCCGGAATTCTCCAGGTTATTTCCTATATTCAGGAACGAGGATAGATTGCTGGTGTAACGTCACTCCAGCTGATCCAGACTCCAAATGATGATCTTGAGGAATAGGTACCCAGGAAAGAATTTACAGTATCAGGTTCGCCAAATTTTGGAATTTTAAATTACTGAATTCTGTTAAAAAGCGAGTAAATTGCAAAAAAATAAATAAAATTTATATGAGATTAGTTTATTATAAAACTATTGTTCAGTGTTGCCAGGCCTAAAACTTCTATAGCATGAAATTTGAGTCATTAAAAACATGAGAAAACATGTGATTTTTAAAATAGCTGAAAACATGAGGGGCCATTAAAAAATAAATAAAAACAGTTGTTTAAAACTCATGATCTTGCTTCATACCATCATTGGCCAAAAAAAACAATCAAAATAAAACAAACTATCGACGAAAATAATCACATCATAAAAAAAGGGTACCTATCTTAGTACAAAAGACGGAAGGAACATTTGTGTTTTCTTCAATCACAGCTACATTCTATTTGATCAAAGATTTTCAAGTAAATGTCTATACTTTTCCACTACATTGGTGCTGTATATAGTGGATTTCTTCTTATTTATAAATGTGTTATCAATGTACAGTTATTGGACCCAATATATTCTTTCGTTCTTAAAATACCAGCTATTGTTCTTTGGGTTTAGGCGGTTTTTGGACTTTGTGAAAAAATCCTCTCACATGTAGTACTTGAGTGTGGTTTAAACTATATAAATTTAGCATCACCTCTTTTAAGTTTTGAAACTGATAACCAGAAAATTCGCGACAAAATGCAAAAAACCAACACTATTTAATATCAAACCATAAGATGAGAAATCTTGAGATTTTTACTTGGAAGCATGAGAGCATGAGATGGACAATGAAAACATGAGATCTCATGTTAAATCATGAGGAATGGCAATGCTGCTATTGTTGAGCAGACACTCCTTTCCAACAGAATCCGATATGAGCAACTCTTGCAAATTGAAAAAAAAAAAAATTAATAGTTATTTATGTATCAAGGGAATTATGAGGGTGTTAATACCCTTACTTAATGCCCCAGGGTAAGGCCCTAGGGACACCAGTTGCCCGTGGGTATTAACACCTGATAATTCCCGTGGTACATAGATAATTTTATATCCTACTGAATTTACTGTATTTTATCTATTTTTATAAATAAATAAATCATAAACCAAAATTTCAATTTTCTCTCAAAGTTTTACCTATTCAAGGTAAAAGCGGGAGTTATAGAAATCCTTAACTCCCGCGCGAAAGTTATGATATTCTTAACTCTCGCGCAGGAGTTATGAAATTCTTAACTTCCGCCCAGGAGTTAAGACCCTGTTAATGATTATCGTAATCAAGGTATTATATGGGTATTATAGTTCAGTAGGATATAATAGTTATTTTTTATACAAGACGATAAGATGGTAGTTTATCGTTGACCGGAAAAGTTAAGTCACCAGCGGAATCGCGAGTGAATTAATTCCGGGAGACGATAATGGCATTTTATCGTTTTGTGCAAAACAAAGTTTTTTTCCATAGCCTAATTATGGACGCCTGTAGTATCAAAAATATTTAGAAATTATTTGAGTCGAACGCTTTTGCATAAGTAGAAATGCGATTGACAAACTTTTGACAAATAAATGAAAAACAAAATATGTATATATTTTTGACAAAATAAACGTCTTTATCTATCCTTTCTGTTAAAGTATCATTTAATCTACCCTTGCGGTTAAAGTACTACTTTATCTACTATTTTTAGTGCCGGTACTTTTGCTCTCATTTAACAGCCGTTAAAAATAATCAGGGCTTAGAATGTGCTCTAACCACACATCATACCTATGGACCTTGGCCCATGCAAAACTTTGACAACGTATCAAATTCGTTAATCGAGAGCAAAAGTATCGGCCCTTAGTAGATTAAAGGCTACTTTACCAGTAGCTATGGAAAAAATAAAATTAAATAAATAAAATATATACCTAAAATAAAGTAGCAATAATTAAGTAGGTAAGTAAGAACAGCAAGATTGAAAATAGATGCTCGTTAACATTGAGCAAAATGCTGCTTCTCGTGCAGTCGCGCTGAACAGGCAAAAATTTTAAAAAATGTAGGAATTTTTTCTTTTTTCTAGATTTTCCCCAAATAGATAAATTTTCCTTTTAAGTTAAGGTACCTACTATTGGTACTACAAGATAAAGCTGAGGGTGCAATAAATCAAATCCAAGGAACTGTCAAAAATCTTGAGATGTTTTAATTAAAACTTTGAATGATTTGAATGAATTTCAACCTATCCGGATTTCTATCTTAAAATTTCACCCTTTCAGCACTCTCCTTCGAGAAGAAGATGAGGGAGTCAAACGGTTAATGGCTATACAGGCCTCTGCCTGGATTCGGCAAAGTGTTGATAGGGATGGACACAAACACCGACTCTATTTAGAGCAAATAGTCCAACAATCTCACACTAATAATTGATTTCGAAAACCAAAGCAGCAATACCTATTTATTTGCCACAACTTTGAATTGACTCTCCTCAGAAAAATGTGGTAGCAAACAAAATGGAGGTTCACAATAGATAAAAAATTAAAATATAAAATTCATATTTTAAAAGATAACATTTATCAGGTAATAAAAACCCAACAGTGATAGTAGACACTGATGGTGAAATAAAACGAAAAATATTAAGGGAAAATCTAGAAATCTGGAGAGGAAAAAAATAAATAAATTGCAAAGTGAAAATCGACTTGCCTGATCAACGGTCTGCAAAAGAAAAGACCTTTTTAGAACTTTGAAGAAAACCAGTCTCGTGTTTTTTTTTAATACTTAACTGTGTAGTAACCATTGAACCAATCAGAAGACAACACTCAAACACACACAAAATCCCGCGTTCACTTCATTAATGAAACACCACGCTGATTAAACAAAACAACTAGAACACGTAGAAGCAGATACATTAACAACATGTCTGCTAAGCAAGACTTTATCAGTAACAACGACTCAATATCATAACATAGATCCGATCTTGTGAATAACAAGAAATCTGAGACAGAGAGGTAGTTTACGCTCGGACACCAAAGGGTTGCGGTCACGGGTGGGGTGGCAACCCTATACCAATCGCATATGACGACTACCCCTCACACCGCAAGGTACTTCTTTTCTGTTGCGCTTATGGTTTTGATTTATTTATGGTTTTGATTTATTTGTTTCTGCTTCTTCTAGTACTGCGAGAAAGCGATGGTAAAATAGTACATTAAAATACAAGTTTCATAAGACGTCATTTTATC